GAATTATATTTTGAGAATTCTAGTGATCTTTTTTAATCCCCTGCTATTAAACACATTCTGGATCTTTCAAGGTATTGACATAGCGGCACAAAAAATCCCGCCTTAGGCCACATTTTCTAAACCACAGATCCAACTGCAGATATGATGCTTTTAGTAAATTGACAGACGAGCTGTAAGAGTGGTTTAGATGATTCATATTATTCCTCTGGGCAGAGACCCAACTCTTCTCTGAGTCAGCTTTGGTGTTCCCTTATCAGGAGGCAGAGCACTATTAGAAAACACCATTTTGGGGCTAAAGCAACTCTTCTGTTGTAAGAGCCCTCTGGCACTGACAAATTTTTAGCTCCCTTTAATAGAGAAGCTCCCTATGTATGCCAGCTAAATCCAAAGTGCTGCTTGTGAGTCGTCTTTGCATCATATCGTCATTTCTGAATTTTTGCTTTAAGATGACTTTTTACTTTTCCGCTTTTATCTCACTACATTTTAGCTGTTAGTACTGAAATTCAGTGATTTTACCAGGCTGTGGAGAAATATGCTTCCAGTATTTTACTGTTACTTTTTTGATCTTTTTCTGCAGTTTCTTTCTTGTCCAGATGTAGTATCTTTTTGTTGTGATTGTATGCACACTGACTAACTCAGCTTCTACATATCCTCCCTTTTGACCCCCAGCTTTATCATTGCTGCCTATATGTTGGCTTCTGTTCTGGTTTAAGTCTAAAAATGGACCTGCCGGCTTGCCTGGTATGGAAGCTCAGGCCCGGTTACCAAAAAGACTGGAGGCCAGCAGCAACCGGCGCTTTGGCCCACTCACAGTCCCATAAAAGCGTGGGAGCCTGGGCTGTTGCATTCCCCTCCACACCCTCCTGACCCATCCCATGGCAAGACCCTCATGGTGACTTATGCTTAGGACCCCAGGCTGTAAAGCAGGACCTGTTCCTGGGAACAGATTTTTCTGCTTGCTGGCATTTATGGTAGATGGATCCATTAACCCAGAAGAGATGATGCTCTAATGGAAGCAGCAGAAGAGGCTTCTCATTGATTGCCCAGGAGCTGGAACATTTGCTTCTAGACCCTCAATCTGAAACACTGCTCCTACTTTTCAGGAAAGGCCATCAGCCATCAGCCTGCAACATAATCTGGCATGGCACAGTTCTCCTGCCAGCACCAAACACCCTGCTGAAAGGGAGATGAGGTTTACAGGGCAAAAGCTGGCAAGCAAGATGGTACTGGGGTCTTTGGCCTGTTGTGAGAGGAACTTCCCTGGGAAGGGGAAGTCCCAGGCCCTGCTCCTTGCTCCCACTTATTTAATTTTTGCAGTTTATTTGTGACACTGAGATTCAAAGTCTTTCTAAGCAGGGCTCAGTTATGGCTCCACATGTAACTACAGAGTATGAGCTCACCCATTCTCTGACCAGTGCCAGTAAGATGTCAGATCACTCAGAGTAACATATAGCTTAAAAATACCAACCTTCACCCTAAATCTAAAGCATTTCCAGCTCACTGGAAAAGCGAGCCTTCATTTCCATCCGTCAGCCCTCCCCAAATCCCTCTCTCACTGTACTAGACAATTCTGCTCCTCAGGTCCTTTCCTTTAACCTTTATCCTCACTTTACAACTCAAGATACAGACACAAAAGGCCTAATACCAGATGCGTTGTTCATGTACAATAAGCTTACAAATGCACGCTTGAGGCACCACCAGAGTCAGACAACTTGGCTTGCCAGAAGGCAGAGCTGCCTGGGCTTCCTCCTCCCTGCCTGCAGGCTGCCCTGAGAGAGGTGCTTCTAGAGCCGATGGGAGGTCATGGACCGTGCAGTGGGGCAGCTCTCTCTTGCCTGCCCAACCAAGGCTACAGGGACAGTCGTGTCCCTGTTTGCAAGGTATCATTCACTGCAGACCATCCATCAGAAGACGGGGTGCATCAGGAGTGCCAACATGTTTGGCATAGGTAGGACAAATGGGCATGCAAGGGAATGTGAAGGGGGAAATAAGTGGGAATGGGCAGAGAAGTCTCTGGCAGAGGACAAGCCTTGGTCAGATGGAGCTGAACAACTAGATTTTGTTGAGGGCGACTTTGGGAAGAGTTGGAATTAGTTATTTTTGTGTTTCAACCTCTCTCTTTTTTATTCTGACTCCATGATTTTTCATATCCCTGTAGCAGACAGACATCTGGTTACATGCCTAACTGCCATAACCCTTTCTACCATAATAGCTTCACCTTTCTGGCCTTTAACCTTCCCTTCAACAGAGACCATTATTGCTGTTAGGTAGAGGTGGGGTAGAAAAGTACAGCTTAATAATGGTGATCATACAGAAAAAACTTTCCAGAGGCTGCAAAGAACTGATAGAAAAGGTATACAAATCCTATGGCTCACTATCTTCTACTAGCCTACGAAACAGAAGTTTTTGATAAGTTGACATGATGTGTTACTGAATAATGGCTGCATTTATTCTCTTCCTCTCCAAACAGTCCCTTTAAAAGTCTCTTTTTTATTCTCAAGATGTGAAATTACTTTGATAGCAGGAAGACAGTTGCAATTCCTGCTTCAGCTAACTTTGTTAGATACTAAGCTGTGATATCTTCAGCCCAGTAATGTTTATAGACCTCAGTCCCTTCCAGGATTCAGTACATGCCTACCTGTAATGTCTACAGTGCTCTAGCTTGTAGAAAAACAATATTGCAAGAGAGGGAAAGCTAATGTTTAGCAAATATCAGAAGAAATGACAGCATAAATTAAGCTCTAAAACCAGATGTTCATTTCAATGTAGCAGGCTATTTGAACTTATTCTGCAAGATCGATATTTTTAGATTCGCTGAATTTCTAGAGGCAATGTTTTCAATTTGAAAGGTTTTTAGCCTGGGTGAGAGGTGAAGAATATCAAGGGAGATGCAGAGGAGCCAAAGAAGAGGCTTCAAAACCAGCACATTGGAAAACCTCGAGTTGTTTTAACTCCAAAGAACACTCGGTTTTACAGCACACCTACCATACAATGCTTCATCTTTCACCCGTAATTCAGTTTCTGAAGGTGTTTGCCTTCTCTCTCTGCATCACTAGTTGTCAGTTTATCTCTGCTGTCCCAGCCAGTTCCCCAGGCCAGAGACAGTTCTGTCTGTCAGGTGCTCCTTCAAGGGATTTCTAAGCTCTTCTGCACTTTTATGGGGAGTGATTTGTCACATATCTTTTGGGAGAGGAAAAAAATTGAATGCATTTAATTCAGCCTCGGCCACTGTTCCTGGTTAAATGTAGAAGTACCTTGTGTTTAGAAATTCCTAAGTGTCATACTAGCTGTTACAGGGTAAGAGGCACTCAGAGCATTGCTGAATTTGTAACAACAGGCATGCAAATATGTGACTGCTTATCTTCAGTTGTCTTACTTCTGTTTAGCGTAAATGTGCTAATGGAGCACACCCCATACAGAAGATGCTGCACAAAATAAAGCTATAAAGTCTTCTTGAAGCAAATGGAAGAGGAAAATTTTGAAAATCTTGAAATTGGCGTCATTTTATGTCTTTAATTACCTGGTGAAATACCCATCAGAGTAAATGGAAATCTTGCCACACAAATGTTAATTTGAGAAAAAATGGTGTGTGGTAAAGAACATTTAGACTGGGCAGTATGTAACTAGTTGCCACTGCCATCTGTGAATATAGTACACACATTTGAGGGAACCTTCCCAGTTGGCTTTTCAATACTAGTTACCCCTTAAAATACAACCTTCTCAGTATGGTGGGTGTTTCTACAGTAGCATTTAAACTGTCTCAGAAGTAGTGCTTCAATATGCAGTATTTGACTGACACCACTACATAAAAACTCTCCCAAAGCAAATCCTGGAAGTTAGTAGGCCAGCGTTTTATCTTACTTGCATAGGTGGAGGTTCACAACTGAAAGAGTCATTTTGGACACCCAGAACAATGACAGTCTTCAGCCTGGAGGTTGGTTGGTGCAACTTAATGGTGGACATTGCTGTTCTTCAGTGTTTCTGTGTTGTATAGGGAAATGGAGAGTGGTGAGGGAGCTTTGTAGCGGTAAACACATAGCAGGTAAACTCACTGGCACTCCACATCTTGCTCTGAGAAAAGGAAACTCAACAATATCTCAGGTAGAAGCTCGTAAAAACCTTCTACTTGCCTGTACCCTCAATGGTATGGTGTTTGTTTAGGATACTTTCAAATATCTTTGGAATTGTTTATGTAAGTTAACATTTCTTTACTTAACTGAAGGTTATCTATGACAAGAATTCACTAAAAATGTGATGCCGCCAGGTAGGTACCGTATTAAAATTAAAGGGAAACTTAGCCTTTTGCACAATTACACAAATACACATAAATATCTCACACAGAAGCGTGCTAAAACAACACTAATTACTTATCACAGCACGTAGTCAAAAATTAGCATGTCTTGTTTTACCATCGCCCTTCCTATATTGATACCTCCTTGGTCGCCTGTCTCATGTGCAGGGTGAAGCAGGAAACCACAGGCTACAAAACTGTAGGATCACATAATTAAAAACTATATTATAATATACATTTTCAATGGGAACAAGATGAAGGTGTGTAAGCAACTCTTGGTCTCGTACTTGTCAATCTCTCACTGCAATGGGAACTCCGAGTAATCTAAAATCACAGCCCTCCTGCTGATCTAAAGGGATGATGACAGTGGTGCATTATAACAATGGAATACCTCCCAGACTCGCTAATAAGCAGAGTTCTTGTGTGAGTATTTGCATATGTGCCAATATTCTGTAAGTTGTGAATATAAGCAATTTAAGGGAGGTGTTATAATTTTCTGTATATCTGTCCACAATCTGACCCTGACCAAGGTAGTTAATTTTCATCTGCTGGGGCAACAGAAATTTTAAATAAATACAAATCCTCATTCGCCCTTTTATTTCTTAGTGTGCAACCTATTTCCTGAGCTCAGAGTATGGTTGTTCCAGGGCTTGTTGAAGCCCTGAGGATGTAAGTTTTTGGGAAGTGGCACAGCTAATTTCCCACTTACCGCAATTGTTTTGCTGTTTCCTACACGGCGCTCTATTTTTCCTGAGAAAGCCTGCGAGTAACTCCACTTTTCACTGCTTTTGGGCATCATCTTGCAAAGCAGGGCTTGACTAAAGCAATGGCTAACAATACAGAGTGCCTTTGTGGCTGCAGGCACTGTCACATGTTCGCACAACTTGCGGTGACGAAAGATGAACAAGGCCGACTCCATGTTCCCCCACCACCAAAAAGCACGAACAGTGTTCCTTTACTGCAGTTTAAAGAAAGAGAGAGGTGGCAGCGAGAAACCTGTCAGCAGTAAGTGCCCTGGTGCGGGTAGCCGGAGGCGGTGACGTTGCTCATTTCTTGTCCCTGCCACTCTTCCCGGCGCGGGTGGTTTGCAATTTGTGCCTGGCTGAAGTGTACAGGGAAGGCCGTATTTCATACAGCTGCTTCGCCCTGTCATCGCTTTGGCTCAGGGAGCCAAGATTGCATTAGTTACAGCCTCTTACGATTTTTAAGCTTAAGAATAGTGGGGACTAAAACATGTTTTAAAAAACAGCCAGAGAGAGCTTAATGTTTTGAAATCAGAATGTTTATCATTACACAAATGATCCCTTTGGAGAGGCACACTTTAGAAGTGGCTGATCTTTTACAAAAGGAGAGGCCCACGGCTTTTTGAAGATCAAGCCCTCTTAAGATATTTTGTGATGAAAATACCACAGACTTTGGCCTTAAACTATATGGAGCATTAGGGTAGTGATAGGAAGGGAAAGGAAGCTAATGAAACTGTCAAATATTCATATTTACTTGTTTTTCTGCTTTTTAACTAAAAATTACCAATGTGGTGATTATTCCTCATTGTTAAAAAAGATTCTATGTCTAGCATGACAAGTATACGCCAACACTTTAGCCTGGTATGTTTTAGAGTGACTGAGTTTTATACCCATGAAAAACTCATACTATGATAGCGCAGGCATCCTGAACCATAACAGAGTCTCTATAAAAGTACGTGCAAGATGCACAAATGAACACGCTGGCATTTTTAATGAATGAAGACTGAAACTGAATTTCTGGAGCTTCTAAAGCACAGTCAAGGCAACCAGTCTTTTTCTTGTCTCAAGGCAAAAAAACTGACTAATTTTGCTCCTCTCTGATATCTGAATTAATGACTCATCTGCAGCACTCTGAAGGAATGCTTCTTACATTAACACAACACACTTTGTGCTTGTAAGAGAGAGGATGAAAGATACCATCTACCTCAGAGGTTAATATATTTGAACAGAGCTGCAGAAGCCCTTGGCTAGAGAGAGGAGAGTGTTGACCGTTTGATCGAATGCTTGTATACTGCATAGAACCTAGAAATAACCATTCTGCTTGTTTAAAGGGCTCTGTTACAGAGTTTGCATCCATACTGTGTTTCCATAGGAATCAGATTAATTGAATTTCATGTTGGGTGTGAGCTTCATCCTGCCAGGCAACGGACATCCCCTTTGAATAAGATTTCTACTTACCTTTTGTTTTTGTTTATTAAAGGTTGGAAAGATATGGCTTACGTAGGAAAGGAAAGCTAGAAAAAGTTAAGAAATACATTTCCTGCACTTTTGCTTCATATACCTTTTAGTCTGCATATAAAGTGAGAGTTTCAGATACTTTTCTCTACTCCAAATTTATTTCTGGAAAAAAATATCCAGCTCATTCTTTATTTGTGGACTATGCTTCAGGTTTGGTAGACACTTTAAAATTTCTAGCAGCATCCACTGGTGGATTGCACAGTTTTTCATGATGGGGTGGTTATTTGCCGCTTCATTCCACAAAGTCATGTGGAAATGCCCAAAGCAGTTTTATTCTGCATAGAGGAAAGACGTCACGGGTAGAGAAAATCTGAGGAAGCCTCACAGGAGAAATTTATACTATAAGAAACCAAACTTCTGGAGGATCCAGAGAAGAGCTTCAAAAATGACCTCTGAACTTGACATACATTTACTGAAGGTGCCATGTAAAGATCTCTCGAGTTAACTCTTTGGATACCCCAAGAAAGGTGTATCGCAGCAGTATGCCTCAGCTCCACTGCTTTATTATTTGTGAGACCTAAGCTAGTAAGCTTAAAGCTAGTTTAGCTATTTTTAGAGTACATTTGTTACACCATTTGAAATGTGTAGTTGTTTGAGTTTATCCAAAAAGGAGAGCTGTTATTTGATAAAAAGTCTAGAAAGACCCCTTCTATGGGGAAAAGATCATCTGATACCATAACTCTAATTTAGCAAATGCAACAAGAAATCTCAGTAAGTAGAAATGTGGAATTTAAGAACTGAAACTGGAAAACAGATGAGAGTAACTAATTATTGGAAGCTCTCAAAAGGGAGGAGAAGAATAACCGAAAAGCAGAAAGGCAAACAGGGAATTTGTTCAAAATAGCTATTCAGGCCTCAAATATGCACCATGGCTTAAGAAACACTTCCTTCTGTACATAAATAAAACTTTGGACATCTCTAAAGCAGCTGTCACTAAAATATTGCTGAGTGGTTTGACTTTGCCTGGTATATCTGGGGAAAAAAAACCCATAAACTTACCCAAAAAAAGAAGAATTCAAAAGAACTGTGAGTTTCTGTCAAATTATTTCATTACTTAATAATACAAAAAAAAAAAAAAATCACATGGGGAAGCAAGAGATAGAAAGGTTAAAACTATTGAAATACTCAATCTGAATGCTTTATATTTGAACACTTCTTTTTTCTGAAAGCTCTGAAAAATTAAATAGATTAATCAAAAGGAGTAAATATCCCCCACCATAAATTAATTTCTTTTTTTTTCAGATTAAACACAAATGCATTGGGTCATCCATCAAAAATATGTTGGTTTTGAGGGAAGAGTGCTTTTACCAAAAAATATTACTTGACCAAAACTAATTGAGCAGGATTCACCTTGGCCTTATCACACATACAGATAGGGATCACAGGAGGTTCCTCCAAAATAACTTTTGCTCTCTCTGAAATAACTTATCTTCATTGCGGCTGACACAGTCCTCCCTTGCTGCCATTTATATCTCATGCACCCAGCAGGTCTTGAGAGGAGGAGTCTGCCCTCCTGCATGGCCTTTGTAGTAATAAGCATTTATTGCAGGGGTCACCATCTCTTTAGCATTCATTACAGACACCGATTAGAGAGGGTGATAAAGACATTGCTGGAGTCCAAAGCCCATCGTGGAATGAAAAACAAAAATGCATGCAAAGTAGCATTTTAAATGGATGCACCTATTTACTGCTGCTATTTTCATACAGATGGTTTAGTGATATTAGATTCAGAAGGTGTAGCAGAGGCTTAATTTGCTGCAGTTCTGGTCTAATAGGTATAAAGACACCAGAGGATTCTGAAATACTGAACTCAGAGGAGTTCTGACAAACCTTTGTACTCATAATAACAAGAGCTAGTGTGAGCTTATACAATTTAAAACTAATTGCCCAGCCAACATCCTCATTACCATATTGATGCAGTTCATAAATCAAAGCCCTGCCTATTCAAGCTGTTTACCAGTCTTGCATTAAGCAGTGTATTTCAACTGAGAAATGTAGTGTGTTGCCAAAACACTGCAGAAACTTTAAAAGACTGATAGGAGTGCAAACCTGGGGAGCCAAAATGCCACAAACTGATTTAATACACATGGTACTAAAGGACTTGTTCTTGTTTGTTTTCTGAGTGTGCTCCGATTTAGCCTTGAAACTTTCCATAATAACGTACTGCAGCACAGATACAGGTCCTTACACAGCAGAGAGCCGATGGCAATTTTGATCAATTTGGCTTCCTACAGGAGTTTCTTTGCTTAACCAGGAGACTCATATTTTTTTTAAGCAATACAGTACTTATGCCAGCTGAATTTAGGTGCATACATTAAGAACATAGTCTTTTTACACAGGCAAAGGAGACGTTGAGGCTCTTACCTAAGAATCCTAAATTAGTCACCCAAATTAGGTGCCTGAAGTTAAATTCTTTGAATAGCCTACTAAGTAAACTGAAGGTACAATTCATTTACCTAAACAAGTGCCTACCTGCAGGTGCCTAGCAGTGCCCTTTGAGATACCCTACCGTCCTATGACATCCACACAGTAGACATGTCAAAGGAGTTGGAGGAGATTCACACCTCTGAGCTGGCAGCTGAAGGCCAGGTGGGGTAGTCTAGGATGTCTCACAGGGCACTAGAAGCCTATGTTTAAGCAGTTGAATTTTTCCCTATTTTTTCTTCAGACATTCAGTGAACTGGTTTAGGTACCAGAAACAGCCCAGTTTTGTAAGCAGGATTAATAAACTTGTGCAGGGTTCAGCAGCTACCACGGTCCAGCTGCTTCCAGCTCCCGGGCTGGCTGGTTTCGGACTAGCTGGTAATTTCTACAGAGGCTTGAGCCTGTTCTTATCCCAAACACGACTGTCCTGTGAGTTATTTTTCTGTTTATACTTTGCTCAGAAAACAGCAAAAGAAATATATTTTCATTGTGGTTTCTCATGAGCTGAGCGCAGTAGATCTTGGCAGCTGCTGGGAAGCCTCTCCCCCTGTGCCAGCCTTTCACCCCTGTGGTGGGCACGGCCACAGATTGCAAGGACGGAGAAAGCTGAAGCAAGAGTCAAGGCATGGAAGCGACTTTGAAGAGTAGGATCAGGCCTTGAAATTTAACTTGCTGGTGTGAGGGAAGCTTGAAGCAAAAGCAGGGCACTAAAGAGTTACTGAAGGTTGTTGGAGCTGTTGGGGGAATTTAATAGATTCTGGGAAAATCAAGGGCTTGGGGGGTGTATGGTTTGGTTAAGATCATTGGTTTATCCCTGTTTAAGAGAACCCAGTTCAGGGGGAAAAGGGTGGACATTTCTAATGAAATGCAACTCTTCTCTATAAATAGAATTAGCAAGAAGAGTTCAGCCTATTAAAGTAAGTGCTGATCCTCCGTCATGATGCCTGTTGAAGCCTCTGTCTCTTCTGTTCTTTATGTAAATTCAATCATGACAATTAGTAAATCAAACAAAACAATTTTTATGGATGGAAGATGAAATGTGATTAAGACATGTCTTCGTGTGATAAAGAAACTTTGATTCCTGCTTACATCTCTTCTACTGGCTGTGTGGTCACAGTAGACGCAAGCGTCCAATTCCTTATATGCAGACGGTGGATAATAATGATTATAAGTGAAATTAATATGAATTGATACCTTCTCTGCCTTCTCATGAAGGCACCCAAGGCAGTGATAT